AGTTCCATAAGATCGATTTTCCCTGAGTTTTGCAAAATTCTTTGCTAAAGTACCCTCTGAATGCCATTGGAGTTTCCGCTTGGGGTCTTATCAGCGAGTGTTGACATTTGCCATTTGCCATGAAAGCGGCTGGGAAGGTTTGACTCCAAATGTTTTGACTCTGTTCTGTAAACAAGCCTCAATTCAGACTAAATTCCTATATAATTGGTAATAAACTTGTCTATAGATATAACCATCTGGTATCTCAAAAGCCTGGTTGCTGCATTTATTCAATCAATGTCCAAATCGCGTTTCAAACAGTAAAAAGATTTTAACGACTTGTTTCAAAAGCGATTGAATATGCGTGTGACATATGGTGAAACCCATGTGAATCAAATGGGCTTGCTTGGGGTTATTTTCGAGCATATTGACGGAGGAGCGGTTGAAATTGGGTTCTTTTTTAACGGCTAAAGTATTATGGACTTTTGAATTGGCTCCAAAATTAATCTATCTGGCTTGTCACTCCAAACTGCGATAATAACAGTAAATAGTTTTCAGACTGCCAGTTGGTATTTTATGTTGAAACTCAATTTTGTTGTGCCCATATTTGATCGATTCAAACCCGCTGGATATTTTCCAGTCTAATTTCCAGCGGCAGCTTTATTCAATCAGTTATTTTTTATTTGTGGAACTAGAACTATACTAACTTTCATTGTTTGAGCTCAACATGTTTATCAAAGTATATTTATTTTGCTCAAACTGTAAAAAAAAGCTTTTTGGAGTCTCGAAAGAATAAAACTGATGGAAGATGGTCAATGCTGCGTTTTGATGTCTGGTTATGACATGTTCATACATTTTCCGAGCTTGAAGTTGAGGGTCGCACTTTTTGAAGGCTTTGAGTTTTGTGTGTATAAATTTTTTTTGTCTTTTGTAAACGACCAACACTCAAAACTGTTTTGCTTTAACCACACTGAAAGGGTTTTGGAAAGTTTCGGAAGTGTAGCATGAATCACAACTGAGCGAGCTTAAGATATATGACTCAATTCCATCGAACATTTATTTTATATTTTGTAGTACATGGATTTGCGTGGAAATAAAAACAAACCCAAATTCAACGCTTCACCTACCAAAAACATCTGCACCGATTGCAAATAAATTAGTGCAGAAAAGCAAGTTTCATTTCTATCTGCCACCTATTGCAATATATCACCCACTCTCCTAAATTATTTCTCATTTCAAGAAGTTACCAACAATTATGTCTTCAAGAAATCTTCTAAGAGGGTGGATTCCATCATGCCGAAAGGACTTTTAAAAAAAATTACGTCAGCCAATCAGAATTAGCTTTCAAAAAGTCGACGAAAATAAGTTTAAACAATCAGTCAATTTAGGACAGTTTGAATGACTTTGATTGGTTGAAATTTTTCACCCACTTAACCTTTCTGTCACTGTAATAGCGCACCCACGAAATTCCGAGAAATTCTTCTTTGAACCATCTGTTTTCTGGGTTTATGCTTTTGATTTCTTGGTGCTATCAAGGGTACTGCTCGTTTTCCACTACAATGACATTAAAGAATTCAGGTTCGACATAAACAACTATTCCCCAAAGCTCCGGCTGATTTCTACAACTTTCTGTTTTAGTTACAAGAAACAAACCCAATACGAGTATTTTAGCTACCAGAAGCAAACCCCTTTGCGTAAATTTACTCCGCGTAATATTGTCCATTTTCTAGTCTCAGTTTAACCCTCAATGCAATGTCTACTTTCCGTTCGAACTACCCAAAGTTTAAAGCTGTTTTGCTGCTAATGAAAATAGTTATTTATCCAACAAAACTGGCTTTTGAGTAATTTGCTTGAATGATTTATCATTTTTCCAACCATTAGCTTATAGTTATCTAAGCTTTTCCCTTTATAATACTCGAAGTTATCGACACTGGAAATTTTAGCGACACACGTTTTTCTATGACTTTGCGGCAAATTCAAAAGACAATATGTCATTTTTGAAGAGCAAAAGAACAAACTGGCTCAGTTTTTCAACAGTTCGACTCTTTAAATTTGTTTCCAAATCCGGATCGTTTCCAATTCACTGGATTGTTTTTAGTTCATTGCATAGAATTTAAAATTTTGTTATTGAAAAGTTCGTTATTGTTCATTGTTTGATTTAAGAAACCCATACAAAAAAGTTACATTCATGAGGGCAGATTTATAGAGGCACGAAGACGCACCTTTTCTCACAAATATGACCCATTTTTGAGATCCATATTGGGCTGACTGAACCAACTTTTTTCTAGGAGCAATTTTGGCGCTAAAAAGTCTAACTTCGGGGGTGCAGAACGCGGCAAAATAAAACACAATTTTTGACCTCTTGTTTCAGCAAATTTTAGAAAATCAAAATGAAGATACTTTTTTACGCGTCGCGCTTGATTGTTTGCTGTGAAATAGTAAATTATTTTCTTTCCTAATTTTTGGGCAACTCTGTTAGCAGGATTTAATAGCAAAACAATTTTTTCTTACTGAAGTTTTTCTCTGCGTCTATCATGCAAAGCCTTTTTCTTTTTTCTCGGTTGAGCTGCTCGACTTGTGTATCGACCAAAGTTAACGTAATTCAGTTAAAGCTTTTATAATTTATAGTTATAACCATTTTTCAAGATTTTTTGCACGTTAGTGATGAGTAATCATTGGACCAAAAAGTGACATATTTTGATTTTTTTCATCGAATAGCAGCGTTTTTTCTTTGAACAAAATATTGAACCAAAAACTAGTTTTGTATCAACATTATCTGCTGGACTATTGTATCAACATCTGTCGATTTATATATCGAACCTCTTTGAATAAAGTACTGTGTTTGTTTGTCTCATTCTGGCCGATTCTTAGGTATGTCGACTCAATCTGGGTACCAAAAAATCAAATAATTGTAACATTGCTTTGGGATTGTAACCTGTTTAATATAAAAAAAATCTATTCAATTTTCAAAAAAAAAACTTTTTTGCTGGTAATTCATGCTGAAACATTTTTTTTATAAAATCCAACCCATTCAAAAAAAATCTACTTTCTTGCTACAAATGTAAATTGAAAAAACTAGACCCCTTGAAGCTGGCTGCCAAATGGAACAAAATATCACAACAAAAACTTTATTATATAACGCTTAATTCTATTTGGTCCATGTGAACAATCCCCCGCCCCATAATAGATCAATATCCGCCCTAAAGTTAATTGGCAAAACCAAACCGTAAGGTTGCATGTACTATGGTCAAATCTTATTGGCCGAAATTTTTACTTCTAATCAAGTGGTCTAACCTTTTGATAAAATTAATTAACGGCTTTAACAGCTTTGTTTAAAAAATTACCCTTGCGATAATTAATAGAAACTAATAGAAACAACAATTAACTTTTTTGTGATCAATTTCAATTTAAACTTTTGTGGTTTCTGGAAGAACAAATTCTGTAGTCTTAGACCATGTTTTTATTCAAACAATGTCTGGAACATCGTACAACTGTGGGTTAGTTTGTTAGGCTAATTTTAATTACTTCAAAAAACTATTAGGTGGCCAATTAAATTTTTTTTGGCCTTCATTTCCCAAAAATTAACAGTTTTTTTCATCTGACCATCAAAAATTGGTCTGAATAACCAAAACACACAAATTATGGGGTCAGAATTCAGTCTTTGTTTGATTATACCTCATAAAGTTATAAATTATTTCAGCAAATTGTACTTCTCATTAATAAAGTTAATTTAAAAATTTAACAAAATCAATCGCCGTTCATTAATACATCTACAAAAAACTAGAACAAAAAACTTGACTGCTCGGAGTTAAAATTCACAAACTTGTAAAAACTCTGCACTCTTTTTTTTTCAGATTGATGCAAAAATTTTTTTTATAGATTGATCAGCTTGTCCTTAAGCAAAATACGCTGATCTTCATTGAAGATCAATTTTTCTTTTTTTTCTGAAAATTTAGGATGACGCAGTAACTTTTCATGAATCTACTAAAATTAAAAAGAAGTTTTGTAAAAGCAATTTTTCACACGCTAATACGTGTTTTTCATGGTTTTTGCATTTTTGAAAAAAAAATAAAACACAAATACATTTTTTTGTTTTCTTACTGCCATCAAATTTTTTTTTTAATACGCGAAGGACCAGCAAAAGAGCTAAACTGCTAACTATGGCGACCCAATGCTCAGCCCCTCAAAAACATTTCCATGCTTTTTTTGCCTTTTTCTTTTTTTGATTGCTTGAACGCAAAAAAAAACAAACAACGAAACAAAAAAAATTAGCCTTTTGCTTGATTAGTTTTGACATTGAAAAGCGTATTATAGTGTAACACTTTGTTATTGTTACGACATTTGAAATGAAAAATTTTTGAAAATTTTTGTCATGGCATATCTTTTAGTTCTTTTTTCCATACAAAATCATGTATCAAAAAAGTAATCGAAACGGGTTAAGTTAAATATCAATCAAAAACCTTTTCAGTCGTGATTAGACGGCCATTTAAAAACGTCCACAAATTTTCAAAAAATTATATTGTGAAAAAAAAAATTGGTTTATGTTTTTTGATTTTCAGTCTTGATATGAAGTTAAGCTATGAAATTTCAAAACAGCAATTTCAAAATTTTCTTTTGGCGTCTTCTTAAGAATAAGTTTCTTTTAAATCAAAAAAATTTTCAGGATCAGACGTAATTTTCAATGCTTTCTGAATATGTCTAATTTCTAGACTTTTGTCCAGATATTCTCATTAAACCACAAAAAAAGGTACAAATTAAAAAAAATGTTCTTTTTTTAAAGAAAAAAGAATAGTATAAAACTCTAGAACACTTAAGAAAACGTTCTTTTATTTTTCACTTCTTGTTTTGATGATATAACAGGGAACACAATAGTAGACAAGTGAAACACAAGTGAAAAAATCAATAATGAACCCCTACTAAAATCCGCGAGCACAGACTAACATTCATTACCCATTTTGACGGCCCAATGATAGCGTAAAAAATATATATGACTAATGTGAATTTCTCTACTTTTCAGATAATTTCTGATTTCATTTAAAAATGGCGCCTGCTCATGGATCTAGCAACAAGCAGGACTCTGCTCTGTTAGATGAGATCAAGAAGAACCACAAGAAGACGGGGGATTTGTTCGTGGACAAGGACTTCCCAGCCAATGACGCATCACTCTACTTCGAAGAGACACCCCCCATGGAGTTCAAGTGGATGCGACCCAAGGCTAGATAATTGTTCATAATTTTAGATATAACATAACCATTTTAAGCTATTAGATATAGATAACCGAGTGCTTCAAAATGCCTAACTTTCGATGAAAACTACTCTAAAAATGCCCAAAGATGATCAAAATTAGAGCAATTTTGTGGGGATTATCGTACTGCCCAATTCTTGCTTAAAATAAATCATTTGGTTCAGAAAACAAAAAAAGTTCAAAATGAAATAGAAGTTGCTGCATTCAGGAAAACACCTAATCACGAAAACATTGGGCGTTAAAAAGTCTACCTGCATTTCTGCAAATGTTTTGTTCATTATTTATTTAATTTTTCTTAATCTTCCATTTTTTCATAATTATGTCTGATGAAAAAAAGTCAAGTTTGTGTTTAGGACATTGCACCCAATCCACAGCTTTTCGATGCAGGCGCAGACAGATCCGACATAGAACAGGGATACCTAGGTAAGCTGCAAAGTGATGCAAGAAAATTAGTTCGAGAAGTATCTTTATTTTCAACTATTTACTATCTGCTATGATATTTAAGAAAACTGTGATATACGCGCTATTTTAATTGTCCAATTTTTGAGGCTATCTGTGTGTTTTTTTTTCTTAAGGATGAAACTATTGAAGTTTTGATTGATATTTTTTTTCCTTTTTTTTTCTAGAAAAAATTAAAAGGAAATTTAGACAAAAACAAAAACATTTTCATTAGAATTTTTTTTCTCGAATTTCTTCTCTTAAATCAGTTTGGTCGGAACATTCTGTGCCAATTGAACAGCAATTGGCTATTCGTATTCTTGTTTATAAATTATCACCCCAGTTTAACTCAAAATCACAGCGCCGTTTGAATATTTGAAAGCCATATTACTGTTCTATTTTGTTGAGGCTGAAACTGAAAAAAATCTGATTAATTTCCTTGAAACTGATTTGTTTCCCTTTTTCTCTCAGTGTTAATTGTCTTCAGGCGACTGTTGGCTGCTCGCCTCCCTCTCCTGTCTGTCGATGAGACCGAAACTGTTGAGCAGAGTGGTGCCCTCCGACCAGGGATTCGACAAGGCCAACTACTGTGGCGCATTCCACTTCTACTTCTGGAGAGCAGGTGAAAATATTAGTCATCATAATAATCATAATAATCGAAATCATCAACATAACATTAATCATAATAATCAGAACAAATTGTTTTCAGGCTAATGTACCAAAATTTATAGCTATTAACTGCATTCACAACCATTAAACATTAGCCTGAGAGATAGTCATGAGATACATTCTACTCCGTTTTCAGATTTCTCTTGTACGGAAAAATTCGATTGTTTATTTGTAAACTTCCCAACTCCAGTTTTCTTTGGTATCGACAAAAGCTCAAAAAAGCTCAAAAAAACTAGCTTTGTTAAAAATTAAACAAAAAACTAAAACTAAATCTTTTGAGATGTTATGATAAATCGTATCTAAACAGATGTTCTAAAAAATCAGAAATTGGACTAATCTTACTTTCAATCTTCAGACCGAAAAGAAACAAGTGAGGCTGATAAACCTATCTGATAATCATCCAACTTGGTGATATTTTCATGGATAACCGTTTACAATTATGACTTTTTGTCAGTATTAAATTGAAAATTAGTTTTTTTGTTCCGACTTTTGTAACGAAAGTAACGGAATACGAAAGCTCCGGGTTGTTTTTTTTCTTCACACAAAATTCGTTTTTTTACTAGCTTTTTTGATGAAATTTGTTTTATGTTTCAAAAGGTATTGTTGTCCTGAGCTTTAATTTGAAAAAGTATTTCACCTGTGATTATTTTTCATAAAGTTATGGAGGTTTAAAGTTTGCAATTTTGAGACAATTGACGCGCGATATAATTCGTGCTATTACCGCGTAAGCGGAGATTCAATGCGCCTTCAAAATCGTTCCAAATTCGTTGAAAGAAGCTTATTTGCCATAATTGATTTGTTACCAGGAGCGAAACCTATCACTCTGTATTTTATATGGCGTGTAGGGTGATGAAAAAAAATCTCAAAATTAAAAAAAATTCAGTTTTTGTAATGCATTTAATTTTTTCCTGTTATTACTGTTCCATAGACTTTGAAGGCAGTCAGAACATTCAAGGCTTTGCCCTGATATGAGCGGTCCTGTTGTTTTTTACCATCACAAGGCTGATTTAAATAAACAGGACATAATGAACAACATTTGGAATTTCCTACGCGTTTTTCTCAAACTGGGTTAATATAAGACAAAATGAAGAGAAAAAAGTTTGCATCAAAGCTCACCAGATTTGATATAGTGCTTTTTTCTCAAAACTGTTAATCAACACTTTACGCCAAAGTTTTGCCATTTTGGTTTTTTACTTAATCAAAAATAACGCTGAAACTACCTTGTCGATTGATGATAAAGTTAGTAGATGCTAACAAACGAAAAATGTCTGAGTTTTGTTTTTAGCTGAAGGTTTCAATTTTACATAGTAAACATGAACTTTTTTGGCTATCAAACAAAGCATTCATTCTTATACAGATTTTTGGAAAAAAATAGTTTTTTTTGGAACTTTGTTGGACTGTGTAAGAGATTTCTGTGCATATATCTTTCCCATCAGTTATTTGGGTAGTTTCAGCATAGTTCATAATATTTCGAAAAAAGCACAATTTTATTTCTGGTGAAATTGTAAGCAACTTTTTGTTCTCTTCAATTTTTGTCTAACCTTGAAAATTTTAGAAAAACGCATTTGAAGTTTCAATTCTTGTTCGTTTTGTTCGGATAATTTAGATCAGCTTTGTATTATGACTATTATATTACTCATAATTATTATACAAAATCAACGTAAAATGTGTTGTTGTTTTGTTATCCGCTCAAAAAGACATCTGAAAAAAGACCAGACATTCTGACCTACTGCTGTTCTCCTAAACGCTACAGACTCGTTTTCATAAGGTTTTTATTAGTAGCTGTGTAACTACACATATCGTTTGGAATCAATTTTGTGTTAATTTTTAGTTAACAAATATGCAACAAATATAGAAAAATGTTTACAAAAACAAAATTCTTTACAAAAATTATTATGATTTATTTTTCAAATGAAAATCAAGTCAACTATTTAAAAAAAGACTAAAATCATTTCCTTCGATAGCTGAAAAATATAAAATTTTTCTGCAGGGGAGTGGATGGAAGTGATTGTGGATGATCAGTTGCCCACTCACAATGGCAAACTAGTCTTCACCCACTCGAAATCTGTGAACGAGTTCTGGACTGCACTGGTGGAGAAAGCATACGCAAAGTAAGACCAGACCGATCAACCTTTAATATATTTTTCTAAGAATAGTTTTATGACTTTGTATTGTTAGGTTCTGCACAGGGGAGGATTTAGGGGGCCGGGGCGGGGGGCGGACGCCTCTTCTCCTCAGAGATTTGACCCCCTGCCGACCCAAAACGGTCCCCCTCTTTGTACTATCTTGAGATATTCATTTTTGGCGACGGACCTTAAAAAAGTTCTAAAGGCGCCTTCGGTGCCAGTTCTTAATAATTTTGAGAGGGGAGCACGCGCCGAAAAAAAACGCATTTTTTTTGGTCAAAATGTTCCAAAAAAGTGCCTAAAAACGCCTTTTTTGGCCTGTTTTTTCAAAATTTTGCCTGCTGCGCAGAAATTTGGGCCAAAACAGGGTCCTTTTAGTGCTTTGGGAGATCTCGGAAAATCACTTTTGTCGGTCTAAAAAAAGGCCGACAAAATTTTTTGAAATCCCATCGCGTTTTTTCGGCGCGCGCTCCCCCGTCAAAACTACTATATATTGGCGCCAAAGGCGCCCTTAGAAAATTTTTGGGATTCATCACCAAAAATGGATATCTCAAAATAGTACAAAGGGGGGACCCTTTGGGTCGTCGGCAGGGGGGTCGAATCCCTGAGGAGGAAGGGCGTCCCCCCCTAAATCTGCCCCTGAGTTGATATATATTTTTTTAAGATGTTTTATTAGCTAAGAAAGCACCAAAGTTCGAGGTATTTAACTCCTTGCTATTATAATGGGAGAAGCGCTTTTGACTGGGCCCGTAATAGCACGGGTTGAGGTGTTCTAATTAACTGTCCACCGATTTGGTCCAACACGCAGACACTGGTCATACTAAAATCCCAGGTAAAAAAAAGCAACCCTTCCGTCGAGCACTGATTACCCACGCATTCTCGACAATATTAAACAAATTATTATACATAATTGAACACAATGTCAAAACATTGTCGAACGCAAAATTGAATTATATCAAAAACAATTGCGAAAAAAACTCGAACACAAATCTCTATCCTGCTCAAAGGCAATGTTGAAACAAGTTCGAACAGAACGCCCAAATTTCGACGAAAAAAAGTGAAGAAATGTAGTCAATCACAACTTTCATGCATAGTCAAACACGATGTCTTGACTTTATTGAACAATCTATATCGGAGGACAAGAAAATTTAAGTCAATAATCATAGTTTAATGAAATATTTGATAATATGCAAGAAGAATTTAGTCCATGTTTGACCACTTTAGCGACGTGTCGACACAAAAAAATTGAGTCTGACATCTAAAAGCAGCATTTTTGAAATCCTATCTATTATACTCATTTGGGTTCTGATGATTCATCGTCATCGATTATTCAAATTTTATTGAAAATTCTATTCCATTTTCCTGTAGCTGATTAATAAAAATCATAAAAACAAAAATGATGATAACAATAATTTTAAATTGTTTCATGCCCGAGATTATTCAAAAGACATTTATCAATTTACATGGTTATGATGTGCAAGGACATCAAAAGACCGGATAGGCCCAGTCAAGTGGTGCCTTAATTAAACAACATAATTTCTAACCCCATAGGTATTAAAACGTGTCTAGGTTCAAAGTCAGCCGACTGATTTTCAACCAAAATTCTGTTTGAGACAAATTCTCATGGTAGTGGTGCAAGTTGTTTTTGCTTCAGCGCTGATTTATCAGCGTATAAATATCTCATCATTAAATTTGTAATCGTTAGTAAATAATTTATTATTAAAAACAATAAAAGGGGCCTGAGGACTGACCCGTGCGGAATTCCACAGTGAATAGTTTTCAATTTTGACGTTTAGATCCAATTTTTTTTAGTTGTTATCTTCTTATTAAAAAATGATTTCAACAATTGGATATCTTAGTCCACATTTTTCAGCTTTTTATATAGGTGTTTCCAGTGAAACACTATCAAATACTTTTTTGAGACCTATGAAAATTGAATGTGTTCCATTGGGGCTCAATTCTCAACCATTTTGGATAGCCTCCATGAATATTACCAATGCATCTATTGTTGAAAACCTTGTCTGAACCCAAATTGGTCTTAAGTCAAAATACCGTGTTCATCTAAAAAGTCTATAATGAGTTTGTTGAGTAGATTTTCGATAAAATTTGCTTAAAACTGGTAAACAAAGGTATTGGCATAAAATTATCTGGATCTTTTTTTGTTCTAATTTCATGAATTGGTTTTATTATGGCTAAACAAAGATAGCCTGTAAAAGTTTTGTTTTGAATTAGTGTGGTCAGAGTAATATTTATTGCCCCTTGTTTTTCGTATGAAAAAATTTTATCAATAAAAAAATCATGAAATTTATGAGAGTTGAGCCGACTTTTTATAGCTTTTTTTCAAAAGACAAAAATTTGGCGAAATTGCTTCTGATGAGTTTTTTGAGATGATTTTTTGTTGTCCTATATTGGCAGAAAAAAAAACCTTTATTTTCTTCTGGTCTTAGAATAGAAAATTTTCTTCAGTTTTGCTTTCAGTTGATACTTTTCTGAATGTTTTCAAAAAATCTCTCTTTTTAAATTTACATCACGTTTTTGATAGAATTGTTTTGTTTCTTCAAGTTTTTGAATAATTCTCTGAGTTTTCAGAAATTTCGCTCAACTATTGTCATCTTCTGAGTTAATGTAATTTGTAAAAATTTGTTGATAGTTTGGTAGGTATAGTTTTATTCTTTGTTCCAACTTAACATTTTTCTATTAGTGCAATAACTATTGTTTCCCAATCTATGTTTTTCAGATAAACTTGAAGCTGAACGATGTTTTTCTTTAGCGATCTAATGTTTTGTAAAACCAAAAAACTTCCATCATTTTCAAAAGATCACGCAAATCTGACAACTTAAGATGTATAACTTGAGCCCAAATGTTTGTGTAATATTCCAATTCATACCATTTGAGGCCTATTAACCCTCAATCTGTTTTGAGTTAACAAGTTAGTTTTTTGTATGAAAATTTATTTATTATGGCTCCTCTTTGATGATGATTGATTCAGGAAAAACAATGAAAGAAGAAAAAGGTTCGGGAATTATGGATTCTTGTTTTCGTTTTTTTTCAATTTTCCTCCCAAACATAATTGCTAATTATACACATGGATCAAAATTTTTAAAATTTCTTTTTTTTTGTGTAAACTTATTTAACTTTATTCTAAAATTTAGGTATTCATACACATTTCATTAGTATACATGCATTTTGACCATTTTTTTTTCATTTTCAATGGTATTGAAAAAAATACCAATTTTTTTAACAATTTTTTTGAAAACAAAAGTTTCAAACAGTAAATACAGTTGGGAGATTTCGCGAGTATCGCAAAGTTTTCAGTTTTCTTTCATTGAATTTCAATTTCTATCGTAAGCCCAGGCTTCTCGTTCTAAAGTCTCTACCAGGGGTTTTTCTCTAGTAGCTGGCCGCGGGAGTAGACTGTTCCTGAAATAGGTATCCTTTCACTTCGTGATCCCGAATCGCCCTCTGTCGTTCCTCCATATCCACCAGTTCCATTGAACCAGTGGCTCCTTCAATGCTTCTACTAACTACCTCTTGTCTCTGGCTCAAGTCATGTGATTCATTAGTCTCTACCTGTGCTTTTGCTTGTTTTCGTGAATCTAATCATCTCACTGCTGATGAACGGGAACTACTTAACAATTGCCCCCCACCCCTTTTAAGAAAGGGGGGCAGTTATTAAGTAGATTAAAATAGAGCGTTTTCGACCAATCAGAATGTTGCAAAATTATAATTCTCAATAGGAAGCTCAGTGCTAATTTACTTCTTTTATTAATAGGGGTGGCAATTCTTAAGTAGGTACCAAAGGGAGGGCGATTGTTAAGTAGATCCGATGAACATACCAGAATACACTTCCGAACTTCTTGGGTTTTTCTAGGCTAATTCCTGTCTCAAAAGTTGACATATCTCTGTTTGTCACAGCGTCATTCCAAGGTTACTCCTAGATGTCTTCTCGCAATATGGATATATATGTTCCCTTCTTGTTCGACAGAACTTCCTGTGACTAGAAAGTCAGATTTACCAGCTCTATACGCTCTTCGAACTGTACAAGCTTCTCGAGTATTACAAACTTTTCAGGAACCTTCGATTTCTACAAGCTCCACGATTTTTACAAGATTCTTCCTCGATACCGCAAGGTCCTCGAGTTCTACTTGTTCGCCATTACCATAAGGTCTTCAATAACCAGATGCTCCTCGAGTTCCAAAAGTTTTTTCAGTACCACAATTTCTGCGAGTTCCACAAGCTTTTTCAGTACGTCTTGTCGTTTTCTGGTTCAACGCTTTTTATCCATATTCTTTCAAGCTAAACGCAATATGTTTGGCGGAGTAATAGCATAAAAGCCTTTAATTTTTTATAATTTTAGTCGAAGATGGTTAGATTAACTACTTTTATAGCAATGAAGAAAAACTAGTAACTTAGCTGATCTTATGTCTATGCAGCACCTGAGCATTTTTCTAATGTATTGTCATCCGGAATGGACCGACAAAACTTAGTTATATATATTCATGCATATGTTGTATGTTGATGTATGATATAACCATACATATGGCTGGTCAACCGACCTTGAGAGACCTTCTCTCAAATAAAGACCGAATGAACGGTCAGACCATGAAGTAACATTGGTTCAAACTAGTTGTTTTTATCTCGCTTAGCATTAGAATATGTTTGTCGATCCATTCGGATTCTGGCATTAGAAGATCATACGTTGAGGTATGACATGGCGCAGTCAGCAGGACGTTCCAAAGACCCACTCAACATGAACCCGGGAGAAGGCATCTGTCGAACCACCACTAGAGTGGTCTAAGTGGGCAGCAATAATGGAAATGGCTATATTCGCGAAGGATGGGATAGGAGTCGAAATCTATTGAGAGCCCGACCAACATTAGTCGAACCATCAGAGCCGGTGTACGAGGTTGAAATCACGGGAGAAACCGAGGCACAAAGGAAGAACAGAGAGGTCAGAAGTGAAGAGCAAAGAGTTGGTTGGGAAAACCACGCGATAAAAGCACGGGAGAAAGGAGTACTCTGTAATTCACTCAGATGGGACGAAGCCGACGCAAAAGTGCGCAGCTACATATTCTTACATTTAGGAGCGGAAGGACAAAAACAAAGACAACAGATAAGACCCAATTTGGAATTACATAATGTCTGCACACAAGAGCTGATGACAACCCTCGAGGATATTTTTGTTACAACTAGAATATTCGCTTTTGAAAGGTACAATCTTATCTGTCGAAAACATAAGAAAATAGAGAGCTTAGAAAAATTCCATTCGGACCTCGTGGAGCTAGCGTCACGAGCTGATTGCGAGGATTGCGAGGATGAATGGGTTCGGGACATGTTCAAAGCTCGCATGAACAATGACAAAATAGCCGATGAATTATTGGCACAAAACAGGAGCCCACAAGACGCATATGAATATGCAATACGTAGAGAAAAAGGAATTGAACGTAGTCGTACTATGAAAACCAACCCGTTCGGAAGACATCAGATTACGCCAAAGGAAGAACCGGTCAACTAAATAAACAACGGGGTCGCGCTAACTACTCTAACATTCAAAACACACGAAGAGGGCGAGGCGCTCGAGGGCGACCATTTCAACGCTGGTCACAAAATACCAGAGGACAACAAAGAGCTACCAACACAAGTAGTCAAAAACAGTGTTATAAATGCGGAAATCAGTATAATCAAAAACATATACAGTCCTGCCCCGCAAAAGATAAAAATTGTGCCAAATGCGCCAAACGGGGCTTTTTTTTGCTAAAGTATGCCAATTCAAGCAGGTAAACTATCTAGAAGATACACAAACAGATCAACAGTAGGAGCTAGAGACTGAAAGCCTCGAAACGGAAAACGATCCAGTGGCATTTGCTGAAATTTCTTCCAGCAACGATTGGGACGATAATCAAATAGATAACTTTTCGGTGATGGAAATCACGGAGTCATTCGAGATTAAAAACACAAGAACACTAGCTGAGGAAGATCTAAATGGACACATAGTCAAATTAAAAACAAATTCAGAACAATTGTTTGCTATTGCCGATTTGGGAAGCCCGATGTCGTTCGTAAACGAAAAAACCGCACGGAGAATTCAAAAACACGACAAAAAGGCACTGTTCAAAAATATTCCAACAGGAGACACCGCACAAAATTTAGCATGCTGCATGGTGAAATGGTCGTTCCAAAGGGAAGATTGATTATTACTATCGAGTTAGGAGGATGGAAAATTCATTCAGCTCCATTCATCGTAGTAGATGATAAAAAAGCAAACATTATCGGAAGGAACCCGTTACCGCAGATCGGTATCAAACTAATCCAAGAACAACAAAAACAAAACGTACATGCTATACGAGAACAAGAAGAGTCTGATCCAGCAATTAAAAAATGGGTCAAAGACAATTTCGCACAACTGTGCGTACGGATCGGAAAATCCAAAAATCACACAATAAAAACACAGTTCATTAAAAAATTTGTTCCGATTCAACAAAAACGTCGACGCATTCCGATACATCTCCAAGAAGTGTGTAGGAAGAATTAAACAAACTAATTGATCAGAAACACATTATCAAACTGGACAAAAGCTCAGATAGACAATTCATCAGTCCAATTGTCATCACAGTAAAAAAGGATCAAACACTTAAATTTGCGTTGGAATAATTTTTCTGGATAAATTGGCACAAGTGGTCAAATCAGACAAAACAAAAGAGACTTTCTTTTCAAAACTTGACCTTCAGTACGCATACTCTCAAATCCCGCTGGATCAGAAAACGCGCGAACAATGCAATTTCAGTTTAATCTGTGGCAATGCGACAGGAACGTATCAATTCCAAACGGGATTTTACGGCCTGACGGATATGCCAGCCGAATTTCAAAAAAGCCATTGATCTAATTTTGACAAACTGCACGAACACATATGCATACTTAGATGATATACTGATAGTTACGAAGGGATCCACAGAGTTACATCAAGCTAGAGTTCTACAAGCTTTTCAGGAAACTTCGATTTTTACAAGATTTTTGCTCGATACCACAAGCTCTTCCTGTTCTACCTTTTCGTCATTACCACAAGCTCCTCAATAACCAGATGCTCCTCGAACTCCAAAAAATTTTCAGTACCACAATTTTTTCGAAATCCAAATGTTCTGTAGTTTTGTCATTTTTCTGGTTCAACGCTTTTTATCCATATTCTTTCACGTAAACTCAATATGTTTGGTGGAATAATAACATAAAATCTGTTATTTTTGTACAATTTTAGTCGAAGATGGTTAGACCAAAAAATTTTTTTTAGCAATGAACAAAGCTAGTAACGAGTCAGCTTAGCTGATCTCATATCCATGCAGCACCTGAGCGATTCTCTAATAGATATATAGCAAATTGGGATCAATTTAGTCTAATCATAGCCTCAAGTAGTCGATTACAGGTGAATTTTTTTCTTTGGTCAAATCGGTTTAAAAATAGTTTGGTTGAGACAAACAAGTTTTATTTTGATCAAGTCGCTCGAAAGCGTGCGAGTTTGGCTGATTTGATTGAAAACACCCGTACTGGGTCGAGACGAACTACTCAATTCAGGAAGAAAAAAATCAGCAGTTATTATTATTTCTTCGTGTTTGTAAACGGCGGCAACCTTCACAAACATAAAAAATAATAATTTGCATAAATTTTTTTTAGTATATGATCCAAGCCGATTCAAAATACGGATTGCAAAAACCTCCTATGCTTATTTTTTTCTACTTTTAGGATCTTCGGTACCTTTGAGGCTCTGAAGGGGGGCAACATGGCAGAGGCGATGGAGGACTTCACGGGGGGACTTACTGAGCCATACGAGTTGAATGACGCCCCAAAACACCTGTTTAAGGTCACTTTTATCAATACAGCCAATTACTTTCCAATACAACCAAATTTTCCAAAACTTTAAGGTCTTTATAGGTAAGCTAAGGTGAATTTAAGGTAGTGCAAATCTACCTTAATTGTTAAGGTGTTTATGGTTTTTATAAGATAATGTTGTCTTAACTTTTTTTGTGTGCAATTACAACCAATTAATTTTGATTTACTAATCAAGGCTGAATTGAGTTCTGTAATCGGTTTTGTTTATCGAAAACGGTTTTTAGCAACGTAAATCTAAGAGGGTCGGGTTATAATAAATTTTCATATTTTCTATAGCTTTTTGTCACCGGTTCACTAGTGAACTTTTGAGAAAATAAGAACATGGTGAACACAAAGCACGACAGCAGTATCTTCTGAGAGCAGCTCGAAGCTAAAATTGCTTCAGGCTTTTAAAACTTGATTGTTTCTAAGCATGCTTTGGGGGGGGGGGGGGAGGCTTTATTACTATTAGGTATTAGCTATCTCCCTTTGGTACTATTTTTTGTCATTTATTTTTTGTTGATCAAACCTAATTTTTTGTGCCTTTTTTGCTCGATATACTTATATAGGTCAACCCTATACAAAAAGTCGACAAAACCTTTGATTTTTTTTCAAAAAACCAACCTTTCTCGAATCCTGCGCACTCCACTGACTAGACGCCATGGATTTTTCTGTTATACAGTCCTAAAAAGACTTTTTGTTGTTTCGATATTTGATCATGATGCACGAATCTGATTAGCTGAATTTACTATCAGCGAAACAAATTTTCAGCTTTCAGCGTTTTCAATGAAAACAGAAGCTCAATTAATAGTTTGATAATTTGAGCCGAATGGCAGAAAAGACCCGGTACCATAGTCGGGGAAAGAGATAGGGATCTACTTAACAATCTCCCTCCCTTTTCAGAAAGGGGAAGGGGAGATTGTTAAGTAGATTAAATAATCGAATTTTCGACCAATCAAAATGCTGCAAAATTATAATTCTCAATACAAAGCTCTAGAGCTTATTTGCTGAATTTATTAATAGGGGTGGAGATTCTTAAGTAGATACCATAGATGGGGAGATTGTTGAGTAGATCCAGAGATAGTAGTAAATAAGGAGCTTGCTTTGGTTTCAGCTGATGGAGCATGCATTTGAGCGGGACAGCATGATCGGCTGCTCCATCCCCCCTCAGCCGGGGGTGGTGGAGGCGGAGCTGCAGAGTGGACTCATAGCCGGACATGCGTACTCAGTCACTGCTGTCAAGAAGGTCAATCATACTTTTTGTATAAAACAAGATAGCCACTTCTTCTTCTTCTTCTTCTTCTTCTTCTTCTTCTTCTTCTTCTGCTTCTTCTTTTTCTTCTGCTTCTTCTTTTTCTTCTTCTTCTTCTTCTTCTTCTTCTTCTTCTTAATCTTCTTCTTCTTGTTGTTTTTGCAGGTGACGCTGCGTGGCCAGGAGATGCACATGGTCCGCATCAGGAACCCTTGGGGCAACAGCGAGTGGAATGGGCCATGGAGTGACGAGTGAGGCCATACTTTCCATCCATACTATAGACCATTTAAGCTATGGACGCATGCAATTGCAATCAAAATCCCTATTAATTCAAGCATACTTTTTTCACCCTTTTTCTATCTTGCAGCATACCCGCACTGACAGAAATGGTTTCCGGTCGATTTAAATTGATTTTAAATTGATTTTGAATCGATCCAAGACGATTAACCACCTACATTTCACGATCTTAAATAGATTTTAAATCGATTTAATTCGATCTTTTTGAAAATTTTAAATCGATTTAAGTGTCTAAAAAATCGATTCAAATCGATTTCGATGGATTTTCCGACTCACTAAAATCCATCCGAATCTCACTTAAATCCATCAGAATCTCTCTTAAATCCATTTTAAATCGATTTAAATCGATCTTTTTTAAAATTTTAAAACGATTTAAGTGTCTAAAAAATCGATTCAAATCGATTTCGATGGATTTTCCGACTCACTAAAATCCATCCGAATCTCACTTAAATCCATCAGAATCTCTCTTAAATCCATTTTAAATAGATTTAAATCGATCTTTTTGAAAATTTTAAATCAATTTAAGTGTCTAAAAAATCGATTTAAATCGATTTTGATGGATTTTCCGACACACTAAAATAGATTTTTTTCTGCTAACAAGGCGAAAAAACACCCATTAAAAAATTGTTAGAAACTTTTATTCTCGATTTTTTAAATGTAAACACTCCTGCCAGATGTTATAGAATTCAATACAATGATCCACATAAATCAGTTTCAAGCTCGCAAAAAGGCAACAAAATTATAGAAAATTGTTGTAAAACAGATTTTGCAAAATCCTATGTAACAAACAAGAAAAAGGTCAGAATAAATTAAAATTTGATCTCGTTAATATGCAGTTTTATCATAGAAAGATTTGATAATGAATCAGATTTTGGGCAAAACTTCTAAAACGAATCAAGAAAAGGGTCAATATAGATCAGTTTTTGAACTCAAAATATGCAAGAAAATTAAAGAAATTTATCGATTTTTTGGTCTTTTCATTTGGTCTTTTTTATGATACAATACGCTATGGATGTAACTTGTTGCTCATATTCTTCACAGAACTAGAGCACCTGCACGAACACTCTAAAGAAAAAAAATTAACTGTCAATTGAATTTTTTCTAGGACTACATGATAATCGAAAGTTTTCAATTGCCGCTTTTAGTTTTTTTTTCATTTGAATAAAAACTATAGTTCAGCTGATACAATAGCTTGAAAATTTATTGGCATGTGTGATTGTTAATTGATTTGAATGGACTTGAGAGACCGATTTAACCCACTGGCTAAATCATTTGTTGAAGTAAACTGTAGAAAAGTGCCCATATTGTTGTCATTGAAATGGTATCCAATATGACTATCAGATTCGCTTCAGTATATAATTTTGCATGCTAACTTCATGGAGTAGAATCTGGCGAGACCGTTGTTGTAGACATAGACGCGGAGGAGATCGTAGGAGCTGACGAAACAGTAGATCCTGAGATTGAACTTTGAGCCGTTGATGAGGAAAGGCTTGTTGATGTATCTCTGCACCAGCACTGCCCTCCTCTTTGGAATCTGATTCCACTTGTTGATCACTTTGATCCCAATTCCACGTGCAGACGCCGGCCATAAGAGTCATAACATACCAGCCCTTTATTTCGATAACAATTTCGATCACTTTAATTCTATAATTTGGGTTTCAAAAACTGAAAGAATGAAGTAGGGTACCCATTTCATTCGCGCGCTATCTTGAAAAAAAAAGAAACTTTAATTTGTGAACGTACAGAAACTGATAAATCTCAACTAAAAAAAATCGGTTTAAATCGATTTAAATCCGTTTTAATCCCCTTAAAATTAATAACAAATTCAGACTGGAAAAATGCATTTAAGATGATTTAGAATCGATTCGGATCAATTTTTTTTAGCTGGGATTTAAGATCAATTTAAATCGATTGTAAATCGATCCAAATCAATCTTCATCTTTTTTGTTTTATCTTCGTACTTTTTCATACTAAAATCGATCTAAAACTAATCAACGTACTTTTTTCATACTAAAATTGATCTAAATTTAATCAACGTACTTTTTTTTATACTAAAATCGATCCTAATCCATTTTTGTCATTGCGGGTAGCCATAAAGATAATTTGAAATTTTCGACAGAAAATCAGTATTTTTTTTGATACTACGTACCTGAACGATGTGATTTCATACTGAAATCTAACAAGAGGTAAAAAGTATAGTTAACTCCAAATTTTTGGTATTACTGATAATCTTGAAAATCTTTATCGTTTTGACACATTTTTTTTTGACACAAAATAAACTTTTGAATGGGTTTTTACACCTTGAATTGAGTGAAAAAATCACTATCAAAATGAACCGTCGAAAGATAATCAACTTTTTATCTAGTAATAAGCTATGAATAATTACCTGCACACTGAATGATGACTCATTGAGTTTAATTTGTTCAGTTCTCCTGAGATGAAAGGACTTTCCGATAAAGAGAGACAGGCGCTGGAGTTGAAGAAGGAAGACGACGGGGAGTTCTGGATGAGCTTCAAGGACTTCAAACAACACTACACCACCGTTAGTTTGTAAAGTTGTCTGAAAAAGGATTTAAAAATACCAGGGTTGACGTCCATGCCTATCATACAATCCGTGAGGTGACAATTCGTAACAGTAGATTGAGCGGACAGCACATATTCAGGGACCCCCCCCCCCCCCCCCCCCCGACTGCCCATTTTCGAACCCTGAGTGACTCTAGAGTTTTTCTAAAGGCTCCTTTGGCGTCAATATGTACTATTTTTGAGGGGGTAGTGAGGGGGTAGTAAACACAAACTTTCGTTCAAATCTGTTCAAAAAAGAGCTAAAACAGGGTCATCTAAATGATTTAGGAGAGATGGAAAGTAAGGTCTATTTAGTGATTTGAGAGAGCTGGAAAATGAATTAGGTCGACTTAAAAAAAAGGACAAAGTTTTTGCAATTTTTTTTAAAATCCGCCCCCTCAAGAAAATCCTAGATCGGCCCATCCATACAAATGCATTTATGAAGTCTACGAAAAAAATGCTTATCATACGATTTTCAAAGAAAAAAGTTGTATGATGAACATTTTTCTATCAATTTCTGAAAAACATTTTAAATTGGTTTTAAACTCAAATAAAACAAACTTATTGCAGTTTTTGTAACATGAGGGAAACTATGGCGCCAAACAATTTTTGGAACAAAAAAATTTATCGTGCAAATTCAGATTTGAAAATTGATGATATACATTTTTCCATAGAAAAAAATACGAAATAGGGGTAAAATTTAATTTTTTTTCTCAATTTGGATTGCTAACTCGCTTTCGAGCTCAAGTAAATTTTATGGAAAAAGGTCTTGCAATTTTATATTTTGTATCTATATTGTAATTTAAGCTGAATAAAAGCACAGAATATTCCGACCTTATTCATTTAAACTACAAAATTTTTTTATCTTCAATTTATTGTCGTTTTATGTCCATGATGTGATGAAAAAACTAAACAAACGGGTGGAAATTTAGCCATTTAGGCATAATTGTAAACAGTTGGCTTCAAAAATAAATAAGATATAAAAAATGTTTTAGTAAAATAAATTCAAAAATTTTTTCTACTTTTTTTGGACTATAAATTTAAGTTTTTTTAAGCAATACTTGATTTATAGGAAGCACTAAAGAAAAAGTAAAAAAAATTTTGCGGTTGGAAAATTATTATTTTTTAAACCTAATTGTCCATTTTTTGTATAGCCAATGGCACCATTGTTGCCCGGTTTTGTAATAATTATCAAAAATGTTTAACGAAGTTTTTCTCCAAGACCCTTTGAATTTTAAAGTCCTATGCTTAATTATCTGTTTAAATACCTGTTTCTGGTCAGGAAACCTAAGTGACGAACTTAGTTAGAGTTAAGTTGAAAATGAGGTGAAATCGTGTCGAGACGACGTCAAGGTAAAGTCAATACCTGTCAAAGTAAAGCCAATACATGGCTCCACCGCATTTTATCGAGACTTCTAAAAAGAGTTTAGTTTTGCAACAAAAATTAAGAGCATAGCAAATAACAAGGAGAATGAAAAAACTGTGCTGTCCGCTCAAGTTAAAAATTGTATGATTAGCATTTTTTCATTTAGGAAATTTGAATGATTAGCATTTTTGTCAACACGGGCTAGTAAACTTGAAACTGGGATCAACTGTACAATTTCCTCCTGTATTTTGATGGGCTTCAAATTAGATAAATTGACAATTAAATTATGTTTCGATTGTTAGTTCTGTTATGCAGCTGATATAACATTCTTTTTTAAAGCTTTCCTGCAAAAATTTCATATTTCTTCCCCCCTAAATCGATTAGGGGGTGAGATAGGGATCAGTTTGAGTTTATGTAAGTGCTATCAATTGTTCGAGATAGAAACCAGTTTGAATTTATGTAAGTGCTATCAACTTGTTCTTTCTGTCTGGGGACCTGCTGTCGTGACCTTGCGATCTCTAATGTCCGATGGGATCTGAAATAAAAGAGTGCAGTAAGATTTCGATTTGATGCCTAACAGTTTGTCTACAATACAACTTATCAACAACCTTTTTGATCTTATACAGATACGACTTTGACATGGCGCAGTCAGCAGAGAAAAAGGAGGGGGAAAATCCACTAAACATAATGGCATTTTGGGAAACACGAACACGGGAACCTCCAGTTTACTGGGAGGAGTGGATAATTAAATTTCACTGGGGGATGATAGCAAAATACGACATTGATCCCGATGGTTTCTACTTTGCGAATACTCTAAATGCGGCGGCTATCACGGCGTTGCCTGAAGAAGTCAAGGGGAAAAACCGTCTCGATTCGGAAAAGAAGTTAAAGTCTAATCTAAATCTTTGTATCGGAGACGAGACGCAACGGATATTTAAAGCACGAAAACCGACGGTTAATATTAAAACGGTACGGTACCCACGGGTCCTTGATGAGATGCAAAGTGTTTTCCAACGTGAGCGGAATGTAACTCATAAACGGGGACTTTTCTACGGACGAAAACAACGTGAGAACTAAACGTTCGAAAAATTCCACGCGGAACTAAGCGCCTTAGCAGGTAGATGTGACTTTGCAAATGCGGCCGAAAATGTTCGTGATATTTTCATTATGAATATGCGGGAATCGGATTGCCAACGAGAATTATCACGATCAACAAAGTTACCTGAGGAAGTCTACCGGATCGCCTTATCATATGAACGTGCGAGCGCGCATACAAATCATATCCGGGAAAACCAGTTTCAACAGCTCCGGCAATTTCAATAAAACAGGAACCGGTAAATAACATAAGAAGGGGACAAGGATTTTTCCGAGTTCGAGGACGTGGGGGACGTGGAGAATACACCCAAGGATCAAGTAGTAGTGGGGGAAGCGGCAATAACCGTAGGTGTTACAATTGCGACGCACCAAAATTTACCTTTAGCCACATCGCGAGTTGTCCTGCAAAGGGAGCAACATGCAACTCGTGCCGAAAATTGGGAGATTTTGAACGAACATGTCGAGGAATTAGGAGAGGTAATAACCAATGGAGAGGACGAGGACGAGTCGGCTTGGTTAGAGATGAAAATGAGCATCATCAGAGTACGCAGAACGTAAATGACTTGAATGAAGATCTAGTGTCGTGGGTGAACCAGCAGGGGAGCAGGAAAAATGAATCCATGACGTCAGGATCGGACGATTACATGGTAATTTCAATAAAAAGGAAGAAGAATGAGACTGAACTGAAGATCCCTGGGGCCCGCGTTCAGGTTGAGGTGTCAGGAAAGAAGATGTGGTTGTGGATAGATAGTGGATCCCCAGTGACGATTTTCAGCATAACGGACCTGAAAACAGCGTTAGGTAAGGCAAATATTCAACCACAGCCTTCAAAAGATGAATTTTTGGATTACAATAACAACCGAATAAACATACTGGGGAAGGTAGCCGTGATGATGTCATTAAACGGCTGGGCACCACCAGCACAAGTGTCAGTGATATCCGGAAATCATCAGTAAATTCTGGGGCGCGATCTGATGGGCACCCTGGGCCTCGAGTTAGTTCAAGGGAAGAAAATGATGGGAATCACAGGGGAAGGGAGCAGTCAAGAGGAGGAGGAATATGACGAATTGCAAACATACTTCTCTAAATTGTACCCAAATTTATTTACTAGAATAGTGAAGATCCGGAACGCGAAAGTAAGAGTTGAATTTTTCAAAAATTTGAGGCCTATACAACAAAAAGGGCGCAGGGTGCCTATCAGTCTACAAAAAAAAGGTGGATAAAGAAGTTCATAGGCTGATAAATGAAGGGCATATCGTAAAATTACAAGAGTGCTCAGATAAGTATTTCGTCTCCCCTATCGTGTTTACAGTAAAAAAGATTGAAGTATAAAATTAGCGCTGGAATCAAGAGAATTGAACAAGCAGGTACAGAAAAATTACGTTCCAAATGCCAAATATTGACGAACTAGTAGACGGAGTAAGTCAGATTATCGCGGAGAAAAAAGCAGGGAATGTATATTTTACAACGTTGGATTTCACATATGCGTACGGAAAAGCCGCCTTAGAACAAAAAACAAGCGAGCAATGCAATTTCTCACTAGTCGGTGGGAAATCCACGGGAACTTATCGTTTTAAAAACGGATTTTACGGGCTTACGTCAATGCCGGCGGAATTCCAAAAAGTAATTGATAATTTATTTAAGGAATTCCCTCAAGCTGACCCGTTCATAGATGATAATTAAATTGCTTCAAAAGGAACTAATATCGAACGCATTGCGTTGGTGGAAAAGAAATTGAAAAAGCTGGATGTCTCCAATGTCGCGTTAAAATTACGAAAATGTGAATTTGCAAAAACAGAGTGGGAATGGCTCGGATATCGGATTGGGGAAAATGGCATCACGCCTCTAGTAAGAAAAACACAAGCAATAGTTGACCTGAAAACTCCAAAATCTCGAAAGCAATTGAAATCTTTAATGGATTCACTACACAGTTTACACAAATTTTTACCCAACTCGCAGAAATAAGCGCACCTTTAAGGCCACTACTGAGTCAAATTAACGATTTTGTCTGGGCGCCTGTTTGCGAAAATGCGTTTCAACAATTAAAATCGCTGGTGGAAAATATGGTCGAATTACGACATTTCGACATTCACCGTGAAACTAGAATTATTTGTGACGCTAGTCACGATGGCTTAGGGGCCGTGTTAGAACAGTATTGCGCATCCGGGTGGCATCCGATTTCGTTTACATCCCGTTACCTTAATCCGGCTGAGAAAAAAAACTCTACGAATGAATTAGAATTACTCGCGGTAGTGTGGGCCACAGAACATTTTCGAAATTATATATACGGCCGGTATTTCAGTCATATCTGATCATAAAGCGCTACTTACATTGTTGAATTCGTCACCGAAAGGAAATAAAACGTTCTTCAGTCGATTAACTCGATGGTATGATCGACTTGTGACATACGACTTTAAAGTTGAACATAGACAAGGGTCGAAAATGGGGATGGCTGACTATTTGTCTCGGTTTCCGTCCGCAGAGGCACCCGAGACAAGTCATTACGATGAAAATTTTACAGTAGCGAACATAAGAATGATAAACTAGGGGTCAGAAAGTGAATAAAACTAAGCCAAAACCAACCAACGGTAGGGGCGAACAGTCATGTTTCGACACAACGAAATCAGTTCCATCCAATGAGAATGAAAGAAAAGATGAATATGCAAATATTCACCGTGAGCACGAACGCTCAATAGAGGGCGTGTTTACATGCAATCGGCGGTTAACCAATCAGCGTCGAGATATTTGCATACCGGCGGAAATATGCAAATACCGAAGAAAGAGGTTCAGACGTTGTTCTCATTGCTTAAATTACAGTTGCAAGCCTTCAATTTTGCTTAATTACAATCGCAATCCTTTCATTTCGAATAATTACAATAGCAAGCCTCCTACGTTGAAAAGTTACAGTTGCAAGCCTTCCATCTTACAAAATTACAGTGACAAGCAATTTACTTTAAAAAATTACAGTAGCAAAACCTTGACTCTGAATAATTTGAGTAACTTAAACGATAAAAACATGAGTAATTTGCGCGAAAAAAATGATCCTCCAACTTCGGCCATCGTCAACACATCGACTAATTCTGGAAATGTGAACCTAAACATTGTACTGAACCGCTTAAATCAACCTACTAGTGTTAGTTCGGATTCCGATATTGAAATGATACCACCCGAAAAACTTGATATAAAACAGACTAATTCTATAAAATTAAATACGATCATCTCTTTCCCACACCAGTTCCCCGGTTTATCCTACCCACTTGTACAGAACGACAAATGGATCTATTCTATAGTGCCATCAGACAGTAAAATAGTGAAAAAGATTGAACACCCGGAAGTTTTGAGTTTAAAAATGATAGAAGCAAACATTGAAAAAGACCCAATTATGAAGACCATCAGGGATAACATCAGAGACAAAAACCCACGAGCAAAGGAGATAATAACACGACTAGGACAATACTACGCCCAACACTACAACGATTTTGCAGTACGTGAGAATTGCCTGTGGATGGACGGCCGGTTAGCAATACCGAAGGATCTGTCATCAGCAATACTAAATCGTCTACACTATAACCATCACGGGCTAAGGAACCGAATGATTTAGTCCAATTAGATTTCTGGGGGCCAGTAAATTATGTAAGGGGGTGGCAAAAAGTATATACTTGTAGCAGTAGATACTTTCTTGCATTGGCCGCCGGCGTATGTTTGTTCAAGCAACAAATCCAAAAATGTATTGTAGTTCCTAAGGAAGTACATAAATACTCATGGACACGCAAGGAAATTGCATATGGATCAGGCTACTGGGTTTTTCTCAAATGAAATTCAAAACTTCTGTAACTACGAAGGTATAGAACTTATTAAATCTCCGGTTAGGAATCATCGCGCGACAGGAATGGTCGAACGAACTATTGGGTCGATAATCGATAAAAAACTACGTGTTAACTTATCTTCAAGAAAATAAGAACTACAAGTTTGGAGCAATGATATCCCGTGCGCTCAGCGCGTTACCTTTCGTGCCACACTCTAAAACTAAATTAACGCAATTAACGCCTTTTGAAGCCTACCATGGACGAGAAGCAAATACGGTTCTGCGAAGTTTAACGAAAAAACCGTCATTGAAAAACTTGAATTGGAACAATGTTGTTAATCAAAAGTTATCTTGTTTAGACAAGGCGGGAAATCTCCCGGAAGTAGAACTCACCCTAGATTGGGAGAAGAGAAGCGATTTGGTGTACGCTCCACAAAATAGGAAAGCTCTAATATTTTAGGATAACGAGGTGGTAGCGGATCCCAAGGCTCAGGAAGTAGTTGACCCCAAGGAAATAAGATCACCTAAAGCTCTAAGATGGCTCAAAAAGCACAAGACCAGCTCAACGACCGTTAACCAAAGGACTGGAAAAACGGATCCAAAGGACCCAAGAAGGTATAAACGTTTGCCATTAATAATTGAAAAATTGACTAAGCATACGGTGCAGATGAAAAGAGGTTCGTTACTAAGGCGGAGTGGTGTTTCTTTTAGATCGGCGGCCGAAGAAAGCCTAATTGAGAATAGAAGCGATGCGTGCACCCCAGGACCGAGTAGAAATGTACATAGTACCCGGGCCCAAGTGAACCCACAAAGTATAAGCGCAGAGCCGAGAAGGATCGGGTCGACATGGAGAACGCGAGATGATCGACGAAACAACGTATAGTGGAGTACTGCACCACTGAAAAAAAAGGAGAAAGAAAACCTTAAGAGAGGTTTGGCAGGTATGCCTGAAAACTCAATGTAAACTAAAACTTAACTAGTACCATGATCCAATAGAAAAAGTAACAGTGAGTTGATAAATTATATATCTACGCTCTAAAATTTATTTGTGGTTGCCCGAATGAGATAGGTACCAGTTTTGAGTTTATGTAAGTGCTATCATTTGTTCGAGATAGAAACCAGTTTGAGTTTATGTAAGTGCTATCAACTTGTTCTTTCTGTCTGGGGGCCTGCTGTCGTGACCTTGCGATCTCTAATGTCCGATGGGATCTGAAATAAAAGAGTGCAGTAAGATTTCGATTTGATGCCTAACAGTTTGTCTACAATACAACTTATCAACAACCTTTTTGATCTTATACAGATACGACTTTAACAGGGGGATGATACAGTCGATGCTGAAATCGGTTCTACGGTTCATCCCAGCGTTTTCAATAAAAACAGAAGCTCAATCAACATTTTGATATTTTCGGACGTGTAACAGAAAAAGACTCAAAAGTTGCACAGCTTTTTCTACAGATCTTTTCTATAATTATTATAATTTTATATAATAATTTTGATCATATATAACATATAATTTATAATAATATATAATTTATCTGATTATAACTTTGTGCCGTCTGGTTGTTCTGTCCAGATTGAGATCTGCAACATGAGCCCGGATGCAGTGACGGGGGAGTCTGCGGCTGAACTGGCCAAGAAGAAGTGGGTCACCACAGTGGAGCACAAGGCATGGATCAAAGGCTCAACTGCAGGGGGGTGCAGGAACAATAAGGGTCAGTCATTCTATACTATTACGCATTAGACGATTGAGGGGGGTGTACTTAAGGAATTGTCGTTTTTACTATTTTGCGACACTCTAAAAGGACTTGGAAGTCTAAAGGTAATCTCTTTCAGTAATTTATGCCTGAATAACCATAACACTTTCTGCACGCCCCCAGAAAATTTAAAGCAATCAAACACAGTTTTGCCCGACAATATTCTCCGACAAGGTCTTTCTGTCTTATGCAAAACTTTGAAAGCGTCGCAGGATGTTTCGGCAAGCAAATAGTTTGTCAATTTAGCTTTCGAATGTGCTCGAAGATGCTTGAAAACCACAAAGGGTCCTATTAAAAATCTTTTGAAACTGCTGGACTACCAAACCTAAGCTTAGTGATAATATTAGTTTCACTGATTGAATGTTTTTCACAGAATAACCAATTTAATAATTTTCGTACAAGTTTTTTCTGACAGCCAGAAACAGACTATAAAGATCCTATTTGAGTAAAGTCACAAAGGCTTTTAAGTTAAAGTTAAAGTTTTACGAGTAAGGTCAGAAAAAAACCATATTCATTCACAAATTGTAGCTTTTATAATGTAGAAAGTTTCAGATTGTGGCTATAATTTGTACATTTCGAAACAAAATGTTCGAAATCCGATTTTCTAGTTTTTTTTTGGCATAACTCGTCTAGTGTCGCATTTCTAGCGGTTGAAAAAAATTGGATATAATTATGCCATATTTTTGATCCATTTAGCCAATTAGCTTGCGATCTTTTTTAGATACTTAGATTCTAAAAAAAACTGAGATACTAATAAAAAAAACGATCATTACAAGACCAAACTGTGCATTTTCTGAATTGTAAGCGGATTCCGCAACAGGCAAAAATTAGATTTGTCGCGAATTCCACAACATTGCTATTTTTCTTTGATCTTGTCTGCTGTTTTGGATTCCACGGACAAATGACTATAACATTATCTTACTCAAAATTGCTCCAAAAACTGGCAACTTTTCTTTTTATCCGCAATAAAATGTGTGGAATCCGGAACCAGTTTGTGGAATCCATGTGCAAATAATAATTTAAGTGTTTAGTAAACTTAAGTTGTCGCGGAATCCGCAACTGTAAGTGGATTCCGCAAATTGTAAGCGGAATCCGCAAATTGTAAGCAAAAATCACTTATATTTGCGGAATCCGCTTGCCTTTTGTGGAATCCGGAACAACTACCTATACTCGCTCGTTGCGAAATCCGCAACAAAATCAATGTGCCGGCAAAGTTTACGCTTGAGGTATGTGTACGCGGAATCCACCGAATTTTTGTAAGTTGGAATCCACTTACATTTTTGAACTTATTAAGGACTTTTCTCTGGAGTCTAGTAACATACAGACACAAAATTGTGCGCCTATCCAGTGCACAGTTTGGCCTCGTAATGATGATAATTATTCGCGTTCTGCTTTGCGTATATAATTTATTCTTTTTTCTTTTTTTAACATATTCAAAAACTTAAACGTTACTTGTAATCACGGGCAGATCTAGGATTTTCCCGAAGAGGGGCGGGTTTAAAAAAAGTTCAAAAAATTTGAGACACTAATTTTTAGGTCGAACAAGATGATTTTCCAAGCTCTCTCAAAGCACTAAACAGACCCTGTTTTGGCAAAAAAAATATTAAATTTTTCTGCGCTGCAGGCAATGTTTGAAAAAAACACGCCGATAAGGCGCTTTTAGTCACTTTTTAGACTAATTTCGAGCAAAAAATTGCGTTTTTTTTCCGGCGCGCGCTCCCCCTTAAAATTTAGTATATATCGGCGCCGAAGGCTCCTTCAGAAAAAAATTAGCGTACGTCACCAAAAATGGATATCTCAAAATAGTACAAAAGGGAACCTTTTGAGTTGGCAGGGCGTTGAATCCCTGAGTTAGCCCCCCTCCCCCAACCCTCGCCCTTAAATCCGCCCCTGCTTGTAATGCCTTTTTCTTCCACAGAAGCTATTTTTCCCACAAAAAAACCTTATCTCTAAAATTTTTGCTGGAAAAAAGCTATCATGAAAGGAAGCTATTGTGCAAGATCTTGATAGACATTTGTAAGATGCATTGTCTTTACAAGTTAACCATTCCTGACCTACTAGAGGAGACAGAAATAACGCAATTTGCACAAAAACGTATTTTAGACGTTTTTTTTTTTCAAAATTTTGACTGCTGCGCTAAACTTTTTGGTCAAAATAGGGTCGTTATAGCGTTCTGGGATGCCTGGAAAACCAATTTGGTCAACCAATTTTGTAAAAAAAAAAGAGAAAAAAATGTCAAAAAATTGAAAAAAAGATCGGAAATTTGTTCAAAAACCTTTCCCCCTCCCCTCCATGAGAAAATCCTAGATCCTCTCCTGCTTTCTGGCATTCTTTTCCTTCAACCACGGTCTATTGTGTCCATTGAGCTATGATTCAAAACTTCACAACGTTGTTTTAGTCTCAGATTACTTCACCACAGATCAATTGATTTCGGGAATAAATTGGATTAAAACAATCTCGGGATATGGCAGCAGGTTCACTCTTAAATGGTCTGTCTCAAAATTTGTCTTCCAATTTAATCCTTATGCCATAAGCTACTGATTGTATACATCTCTATCGCTTTAGTGACGGAATATCTGTTTTGACTGATACGAGCAGTCTTGTTTTTACTTTTGGAAAGTTTCGCCGATATTAATGTTTGTAGTCTATGTGAACTTATAAAGTCAAAACAAGACTGCTCGTATCAGTCAAAACAAATTTTGCGTCACTTTCTTCAAAAGCCGGATCAACAAGTTGCCGAGTTGAAGACAAATTACAGGACATATCAAGGGACATATATGGAGTTATCGAGCAGTAATCTGTCTGCGATTATAATAACTTAAGGATATGAAATCAGACTCAGTGATCTCAGTTTTTTTGTTTAGCGTACCTACAAGTTAAGTGAGCAATCAAACGAACACTGGTAGCCTAGAATAATGGCTAGAATTCAATTTACATGCGTGGAATTTAAAAAATTGTGAATTCGAGGCTTTGCTTATAGGTATATTTCAAAACATGTGTTTCGAGAAACCCTTTGATTTTTCGAGCTCTCCCAAATCACTAAAAAGAACCTGTTTCGGCCTTTTCAAAAATTTCTAAAAATCAACAGGCCAAAAAAAAGGCGTTTTAGGACTTTTCTCGACAGTTTTGACTCCTCGAAAATAGTATAAATTAGAAAACGCTCAGGGTCAGCAAGCCTTTTCGAAACTTTTAGGGTCAGCCAGCCAAAACAGAGGTCTTAAAAAAGTACCACAGGAGTCAAAAAGTAGCAAAATAAACAGGGGGTTGAATCCCTAAGGAAGGGAGGGGCGCGAGTTCCGTAAATCTGCTACTACCCTCAGTGCAAGAAGGATGCGACAATCCATTTGCTGCGAATTCCATTGCGCGTTGAGTCCATCGCATATTCGAAATCATATGTTCAACATGATGTAACAGATACACTGTTATACTTCAATGCGAAATGAAACATCTTCGTCAAATACTTAACAAGGGATAGTAAAACCGTTGAGGATAGTAAAACCAAGGGATAGGTCAACACATAACAGCTAGACAGATCTAGACTGATTGACAGGCAGGTACCAAATCACACTTAATTATAATATGAGAACTCTCAGAGATAACTAATAAATGAATAGCAACTAAATTGATTGACATGTAAATATGTAGCCCCTCACATTTCCGTACAGATGTAAAATTTAAATACATAGTAATTAAATTTAATATAGTAATTAACACCTGCCGCCGCACTAACATATCAACAACAAACTTTGAGTTTTAAGCTTATGGCCATCCCTCTCCCTGGGTAAAGAGTTTTGAAAGAGTTTAAGTTTAAAGTTCACTTGTTTCCTTCCCCTGGATGTTTTCCTTTCTTTTCCGCCCCTTGGATAATGTCTATCATGATTCCTCCCATTTTATCTACTGGCTTCCTTCTTCTGGTACTCTTTCTTGTTCCCGAGCTTTCACTTTGACTGCCCGATTCTTCTTCCTGACTACTATTCGCAAGGCATTCTCTGGCAACTAAGGTCGGTCTGTCCTGACTCCCCTTCCCTCGTTTCGCTTGTTTAGTGTTCGTTGCTTTAGGCTTCGCCCTTGTACCTGCTTCATGTTCTACTATTAAAGTTTTACTACTTGGGCCTTGTCCCGCCGCAATCGCCTCTTGTCTCGCCATAACTTCAACTGGTAGCCGAGCTGGTGTAATTTTGAGTGGCCGGTAATCTTCGCTATCTCAACTGTCCGACTGAAATGTGGCTACAGGTACTTGCCGTTTGGGTCTTGGCCACTTAGATTTCGGGCTCTCGATTGCCTCCTTCTTTGCACTCGATAACATTTCCTTGAGCGTGGCCGGCTTCCGTTTCTTTGGGGGAATAATCTTTGGCTTCACTGCCACTGCACTTTTCCTAAGAACAGATCCGTTTTTCAGCTTGAGTGCATGTTTAGACTCGGAGATTACATGAGATTTTAAGAGTTTATACCGGTTTAGGGTCCTGCTGGTGGTACGCTGATAAAGGTCGTCTCCACCTCCCCTCCCTTGGATTTTGGAGCCGCCTGCGTCTCTACTCCCTTGGATTTTCGGGTCAACCCCCGATGCCTCCCCTTGGCCTATTTCCATCTGCAGGTCGCTGTCCAGAATGAGCGGTGCCTTCCTTAGTGCCGGAGCATATGTCACGTCCGATCGTACATCCCAGTTTGAGTGCTGTGGAAATTCGATTGAGCTCATTTCAGGGTCACCTTCGTCTAAACACAAACACTTTTGTTTTAAGACGTTCTTCCAATTCAGATTTTTAAGGCTCGGTTTTTTCGTAAGGTTTCGTAACACGGTGTTCGCCTGCCGGCCGTGGTGAGCTTCAAAAAGTGTTAGTTTAGTCGTTGCTTTTTTGGAAAACCGTAACGCGCCTAATGCTTTATCGACCATAACTTCTAGAGACTTATGCTCTTTTTCAGATGCATAAGTGAGGACAAAATTCTTTAAACTTCCTATC